CCTACACCAGGGTTCTCAGACGGTCCCCCTAGTGGGGCTTGGGCATTGGTCTTTCTACAAAGACTCCAGCATGTTTGCATGTGTTGCCAGGGGTGAAGCACTGAGCTACCCTTTTTTTCCTTTCTCTCTCTCTCTCTCTCTCTCTCTCTCTCTCTCTCTCTTTTTACGTCCCCAGGAACCCTGCATTGCCCTCACAGTGGATTATAATTCTACCAGTTACTTGTGTGGTTGTTCAAGGAATGGCTGTAAGTGCCATAAAGACAGTGGTCAGATCTGCTTTTACTCATGGATGGGAACACAGAAGCTGTTCCATGGGGGAAACAGAATGGGATGGGTACAAAGTGGAAAAACCATGTGCCGGGGAGAGAGAGAGTGAATTGGGGGTGTGATGTGCCCGTAAATGTTTAACAAACAGTGATGAGGGGTAGGGGGAGAGGACTCCAATTTGCAGCATTTGCTCACTTCTGTGGTGTAAATATTCCCACCGTGGCTGATTTCAAGCTTGCAATGTGACATCACCAAATGTGGAGTCAGGAAGTGATGTCTTCCAAGGGCCCTCAACACCAGTAGGCGTTGGTTCCAGGCACCAGTGGCAGGAATAGACTTACTCCTGACAATTCTCCTTATTTGGAACAGATACCTAAAGATTTCTCCATTGTCTTCACTAATCTCCATGAGCATCCACTATGTGGAAGTCTAAATTAGATATTTGAACTACACTGGCTTGTCTAGTGCCCCAAAGAGCCTGCCATCTTACAGACAAGGAAACGGAGTTTCAGAGAGGTTGAGTACCTCTGAGGTTGCTCGGGGTCACACAGCTCATTCAGTGGCTGGCCAGCTCTCAAACCCTGATTTTTTTCACTAACAATCCTGGTTCCTTCCACTACCCTCATCCCAGTACAATACATTTTAAATCCTTGGACAAACTCTCTGAGAGCTAGAATTGCTAGGGAAACCAGAGAAGGTAAGCGGGCCTGGGAATCTGCATGTTCCCTGCCCATGTCCTCAAGTCCCCTTGCTTCTGACCATTGTGAAACCACTGCTGGTCATGGATAGTGGCCGGCCAAAGACCCAGCTGTCCAGCTCTTCCCCTTTGCTCTGAGCCCTGAGGAACTGAGGGTAAACTTTCAACTTTGAGTCATAAAATCATTTGAATGGATGACTCCACCACCGGGAAGAGGGAAAGTGAACCCATTCTCCCCACCCCCCTAATTTTCCTTAATTTTTACTTCCCATACATTATATCTTTAGAACCCACAGTGGGCCCACTAACGTCTCAGAGAATTGGGGCAAACTAGCAAACTACTTTGCTTCTTTGGATGTCAGTTTGCTCCCCTATAAATAGCAAGTAGACCAGAGAGAGGGCTCCCTGTGTTCATCACAGATCCATGCCAGCTCCCCATGGGGCTGAGTATACAGCAACAGGAGTAAAACAGGAGCTTAATGTGTGTTGAGGAAGTGTTTTATAGGTACTCTCCTGTTGACCCCCCACAACGAATCTACACATCACTGTCATTATACCTTTTGTACAACTGGGGAATCCAAAGCCAGAGCATTTCTACAACCTGTTGGAGGTCACCCAGTTGGTAAGAGGTAGAGGCAGGATGTGAATCCGGGCATCTGGCTCTAGAGTGAGGCTCTTAACTGTGTGCTGGCAGGTATAAGAGAATGGATGCAGGGTCATATAAAGCTGGATCCACCCTTTTTTATGAGAAGATTGTGGGCTGCTATCTTCTGGTGTGCTAGAGGGTCATGTACATAACAGGCATTCCATAGACGGATCCAGATATGTGTTGATAGAGCCTAGATCAAGAAGTGAGTCCTGACACTGGACACTAGGGGTTTGCATTCAGAGAGTGTTAAGCAATAAGTGATTGTCCCTGTGACTTGGAGTCCTCGGCTGGGGTTGGGGGAGGAGTGGGGAGGCTGGTGAGCCTGTAAATTGGGAAGGAGCATGGTTACTGCCCAGGGAAATGTGAGAATTAAGTTGCACAAACTTCACGAACAAACAGGTCCCCCCCTGCCCTCTGTCCTTGGCCCTGTCTGCTCCCCTCACGGCACACATCATAACGCATTTGTTTCTATAAGTGTCTTACCCACCCCTGCCCCAGCTGTAAACTTCCTGAGAACGTGGTCCCCAACTACTATATTCCTCAATGAAAAAAAAAATTACCTAGCAGGTGCCTGGCACATAGTAAGCGCTCACTTCATTTGGTTGAGGGACTGAAGGGATTGTCTGCTAAGTGCCTGGTACAGCCCAGGGGAATTCTCTACCCATTTTCTCCTGATTCTCTTACACTTTCCCACCTGCCACACCCTAAGCCCTCCAGCCATGGTCCCTGCTGCCCTGGGGGGCACCATGGAGAAAAGTATGAGTTTGCAAAGCTGTTTGACAACAAAAGTGAGCCATGGAACCTGCAAGGCCCCATGGTTTCAGTCTGTAGCTCAGTTACCATAATGAAATAAGCCCCCTCCCTTGGTGGTTCTCAGATGGGAGGAAGTGGTTTGGACGCAGGGTACTTATTTCCTTCAGAACGCCTGGGGAGCTGAGAGGGAGGAAGTCAGTCACATGGTATGGCCTCAATGCATATTTATTAAGGGAAAGGAAGGATGGAGGAATGGATAGATGTACTCACAGGGCCCCCCCTCAGCGTGCTGACAAGAACCAAATGGTCCAGCCTGACAGGCTGGAAAGCCCTAATGAGAATCTTAAGCTCCAGCCTCTGTCACAACCAGGGGAAATAAATTCTTGCTGGATGTCAAATGAAAACTGAAAAGACCAGCACCATCTATGAATGCACGAGGCGGATTAGGGTTTTTTTTTTTTTTTTTTTTTATGATAGTCACACACACACAGAGAGAGAGAGAGAGAGGCAGAGACACAGGCAGAGGGATAAGCAGGCTCCATGCACTGGGAGCCCGACGTGGGATTCGATCCCGGGTCTCCAGGATCACGCCCTGGGCCAAAGGCAGGCGCCAAACCACTACGCCACCCAGGGATCCCCCGGATTAGGGTTTACCCCAATGGCCACTTAGTAAGTCTTTAAAAAAACAGGCTCCCCTTGGAAAAGACATAGCCACTTTCCAAAACCCAAAAGTGAGGACGTTTTTTGGTTCTGTTTTAGGAAAATGAGTTCAGTTTGCTACAACTCAAACCAACCCCTGTCTCTTTCAGTTATACAGCACATGGGGAAACAAGCAGAAATAAGCATTCAGAAAAATCGAGAAGAGTCCTGCTCAGCAGCTGTGCTCTTTGATTCATTGTATGTAACACTGCCTGATAACCCATCTATTACGAGCAACCTGAGGTCCTCTCCGTGTCTGGGTTAGGAATGCTATCACTAGCTGCTGCTTCGTATTTAGCATCTTCCAGATATGATACAGATAATTTCAACTTCTTACAAACATACAAAGTCTTCCTTTTATGAGAAGGAAAATGAGACTCAGAGAGGCAGAGTGGCATGTTCAGAGTCACATAGCTCCTTGGCGGCTGACCCAAAATTTTGACGCAGGTACAGCCAATGACATCAGTAACTTTCCACAAAGCCATCTTGCTGCCCTGACTCTGAGACCTGTTTAAGACCCAGACGTCTAAACAGATTTCGGTCTATTTCATAGGTTTTTTTCATATTATTATTACTATTCTGCTTTCCAGGACATATTAAACACTCTTGAATGGCCTTCTTCTAAACGGGGAAAATCATTTGCGAAGGATTTTGCCAAAACTTTGATTAGGGCTTACCTCCCCAGTTATAAAAAGACTTATAGCCCAGCTTATAGGTCTGTGGTGCAGTGTCTCATGACAAACCACAAAATAACAATTTGCAGACTATTGGATATATTTCTCTTAAAGAGTATTGCTTTAGTATACACTTTTGTCCTTCATGCGCTTTAGACTCTCCCCTCCCCCACCTCAGCCCTTGGAGCCCTTAGAGCCTCTCACCAGCTGTGTGACTTATACAAATTACTCAGCCTCTCTGAGCCTCACTTTCTCATTTGTCAAAGCACGTAATAATCATAATCTTGTGGGATTGTTCCGAGAAACTGCAGGAAGATAACTCTGCATGCAGCCCCCCTCCCCTGCTACTCAGCAGGGCAGACACCATCCTTTTGCATCCACATGCATGGCCTCAATTTAGGACACTCTGAGGCCAGAGCCCAGGTCATTTTCCCATCATTAAGGCTCTCTGGATATGTTGGCACCTAAAAGAATGCGGAATGTGCCACATTCCTTAGGGAATTCTAACCCTCCAAAATCTCTTAATTCTAACATTCTGTGTTTTCAGAATGTATATACCTTACCTATTTGCTTTCCCTTTAATCCTACCCCTGCCCCCATATGCATACCACCTACTCTGCTTGTTGATGCTTATTACTATTGGTTATCATTGGCATCTTCCCAAAGATCCACACACCCAAACTCCTGGATGCACTACTGTGATCAGTCAGCCTACCTGGGCTCCATGCACCTTTAGATGTCATGACTCCGAGTGGATAGCACTTACTGAACACCTGCTATGTGTCTGAAACTAGCCTGGGTGCTTTGCATATGTTAGCTCATTTAATCCGCCCAATATCTATTGAATTGGGTACCTTTATTCTCACTCACAGGGGAGAAGATGAAGGCTTGGGGAGGTTTAAACATCTTGCCCAAGATCATACAGCTAGGAAGACTGAGAGCAAGTATTAGTTGCCCTCAGTAAGAAGCCTTCTATGTGCCCGGCTATTGCTCAGCTAGAAAATCTCCTCTGGCAGGAGTGTCGCTGGCCCAAGATCCCCAACCTATCTTGCCATGTATAATTCTACATCAGGCATCAGATATTCACTGAACAGCTGCCATGTGCTGGACACTGGGTTAGGTGTCAGCCTCACTTGAGATGCTGCCCTGCCTGTTCTCACAGAGTGCCTTTCTGTCTCCAGAAAGTTAACGCTCTGCCAGTTGTGTGTCTAGGAGTCTGATGTTCCTTCCCACCCAGCCCCTGCCATGTCCCCTATGATACCTTCAAAAGCTGGGCATGGTCTCCCCTGGGAGTTGTTGAGGAGGGACTTCCAGGAGCGCTGTCACCGCCTCTCCATCAGCTGCTGCTGCTGCTCGCACAGAGTGAGCAGGTGGCCAGGCCTCCGCGGGTGTAGAGAAGCCCAGGCTATCAAGAAGAACAGCAGTTGCTAAACCAGCCACACACTTCCTCTGCTAGAAATGAGGAAGGCACGCGGGACTTGCAGAAGGGTAGGTTCCTGTTTTTAGTAACCACTCTGAGCAGGCTCCTCTCTGTAAGGATAGGGAAGACAATGGCATTATTAATTTTTTTTTTACAAAGTGCTTGGGAATATGTGCAGCTTGATTCTAAATGCCTGGACCATGCTCAGACTTTCAGAGGCTGGGAACTTTTTCTCTAATTAAAAGGCAGAAGATGCTGAGAGGCTGCTCTCACACATCCCCAGAGCTCACTGGGTCCAAGGAGGCTGGGGCTCAGGCATGCAGCTTATCTTTTTTCAGTTTCCCAGTTATCACTGTTTTGTTTTTTGTTTTTGTTTTTATGTCCCTGCAAATGGGCCCCAGAGCAGAGCTTCTGTCCAGACTCTGCCACAGATAGTGTTTAATTGGTGGAGGTGTAAAATAGTAGGCATCAAAGCCTGCTACAGAAAGAAGCTGCCCACCAGCCTTCTGGGGCAAGGCATGCAACCCATCTGCTGTGTTACAACCAGAAGAAGCTAGAAAGGATATGAAATGTAGTCAGCTTCCCCCAGGTTCTAGATTACAAGTGGCTAAGAAAACATGGTGACTGGATACGGCGTGTGATGCTTGGCTGGCTCCTGGATGGAAGGAAAAGACCTAGAAAGAACATCATTGGGATGGAGGTGGGGGATATTCACATAGATACTGCATTGTAGATAATATTGGGTCAGTGTTAACCCTTGGGGGTGTGATAATAACATTGCAGTTATGTGGGAAAATGCGCTGGTTCTCAAGGAGATACGTGCTGATGTATTTGGAGGTCGAATGTCATGTCTGCAACTTTCAAATGGTTTGCTAAAAGAAAAAGAAATATAAAAAATCAGTGTAAATAGATATAAATAAAGAGAAAGACAATGAGAGAGGCAAAAAGCAAATGTGGCACAATGCTAACATTTGCTGAATCCAGGTGAAGGATCTACATACCTTGTACTATTTCAACTTTCTGATGGATTTAACATTTAAAAATAGTAACAGGGATGCCTGAGTAGCTCAGAGGTTGAGTATCTGCCTTTGGCTCAGGGTGGGATCCCAGTCCAGGGATCAAGTCCCTCATTGGGGTCCCCGCAGGGAGCCTGCTTCTCCTTCTGCCTGTGTCTCTGCCTTTCTCCATGTCTCTCATGAATAAATAGATACAATCTTTCAAAATAATAAAATAAATTTAAAAAATAATATATAGCTCCCCACTTATAGTATGTGTGTCCCCATTCATTGTATATGTGCCTTTTCATAGGATGTGGGAAAACTCAGGCACATGAGGGCTAAGGGTTTGTTGGTGGCAGGGCTGCTGGGGGATTACCTGCTAGAGCTAGGATGACCCTCTGAGAGCCCCAGCTGAAGCCCCACTCCCCAAAGGCAACAGAACAGAACATCCTGTGCCTGTCCCAGAATCACACAGCTGGTCCCAACGCAGAGCCAGGGCCAGTGTTCAGGGCAGATGATGTGCTGCCCCAACCAAGCAGGATCGACACGGCCACCCAGGGACAGTCATTTAGAAACCCCTCTCCATGTAGTTGTCAACGCTATCGAAAACATTAGGGCCACTTCTGAACTTGAAAGGAACGTTGTACTAGATAGTTGCTTCCTTAGACAATTTATGAAAATACCCAATGTCTCTAGGGCACCCCAGGAAGGCGCAAAGGAAATGTTGAGAAAGATTCAGATGGGGAAGAACAGATGAGCAGAAATACACCCAAAAGTGGAGTCTTCCCCCCAAATTCACATGGAGGAGTCAAAGAGGTTTGGATCGATTATCAGAAGACATGAGCTTTGCGGCAACTTTTCAAACGATATTCCCTGAGAATCTCCTGTTAAGAGGACTCTGAATTCATTGCTCCATCCAATCATTTATTCAGTAAAATTTGACTGGGCCTTTTCCAAGCACTGGAACTCAGCCATGCACAGAACCCGACAAACCTGCCCTCACTGACTTCGCCTTCTCTGGGGGAGCACTGTGGATAGGGACCTAAATCCACCTATCTCAGGGATGGTGGCTGCTGTATAAAAACGATGTGGTCAGTGTGATAGACGGGCTGGAGCAGGGGAGTTCTTCCCACAAGTGGCCAGTGGCAGGGGGATGGCCTGTCTGGGGAGGTGCCCTTGGCTGAGAGACCTGCAGGACGAAAGAGAGCCAACCTGGGACAAGCCAGGACAGGAGAAGCAGGAGGAACTACTGGCTTGGCACAGACTTCAGAGGGTTTCAGGGAAGCTCCAAGTCTGATGGCAGAGGCAGATGACAGACAGGGTCTCATCAGAGAGCATAGTCCATGAACAGGAGAAGCCGTTGCAGAAGGAGAAGCTCAGAATTTGGAGCCCCCAGTGGCTAGGCCTGGAGTATCTGCTCTGCCTGTTTCTAGTGGGTAACTGGGTGGGGGGTGGGGGGGAAGCAGGAGGTCCTGCTACTTCCTCTGACTTTGTTGTTCCTTTATCTCCCTTTCACTCTGGGGGTAACTGCCAGGAAACAGGAAGATTGAGAAAATGTTCCTGAAACCACCAACTGTGCTGGGCAGGGCAGGGGGAGCTGATCTGTGGCTTAAGCAGCGGGGAGTGTGGGTAAGAGCCCAGAGGCCAGTATCAGCAAGAGCAGGGGTGAAGCCAGGGCAGCCACACGTCTCTGTGTGAGTCTATGCAGGTGACCCCGACTTTAGATCTCTGCTTCCAGCTTCCCAGTGGGTTCTCAACATCAGCTCTATGGACATTCTGGCCAGAATGTTCTTGGCTGTGTGTGTTAGTGGCAGAGGGTACGGGGTGGGGGTGCTGTGCTATAGGATGTACCATAGCATCTGGCCCCTACTTCCCTGACACCTGTTGCATGACCCCTGCCGAGATGTGATGACCAGATGTCCCAGGCGTCATCAGATGTACTCTAGGGACCAAAAGTGTCCCGGACTGGGAACCAGTGGATTACAGCTGTCCCACAGAGGCACTGGGAGCGTTAAGTAAGTCTGCCTGAGCTATGTTCTCTCATGAATTGCAAGTGCCGCTCCGTGGTCAGTTCCCTTGCTTTCACATAGACTCAGCCCTGCAGCAGGTCACCCATGGTCCTTGGTGCACATGCCAGACCACGAGGCTCCCTGTGGGGTGGCTCTTCCACCTGCCTCCTCCAACCTGAGAGGTAGAACCAGTATGTAGCTCAGTGGGGAGTCCTGGGAGGAGCTGCAGGATGGGCATTGCACACCCTGCATCTGTGTGGAGAGCCTGCTTTGGTAGAGGGGGAGCAGGGCAGAGGGTATAAGAGTTCTGGCACCATAGGAGCTGGGCCTGTGGGGAGGAGGGCAGGAGGTAAGCTCACAGCATAGGCCAGGAAAGGGGAACTGTATTTCTATGTTGCCAGGAGGCTTCCCACTGCCCCCACATCATGCTGCACCCCCTCTCCCAGGCATTCCACACTGCACCTTACTAATTCACATGTCTCTCACCCGATCCCTGAAGGAAGGAGTCCTCGAGTGCAAAGATGTTGTCATTTATTCATTTTTTCAGGCATGAATTCTATGATCAAACTGTCCACTTGTCCCACAAACCTTAGCTCTCTGCACGCACCAGGCACTGTACCTGAAATATGCCATGTGTCAGGCTTGACAAAGCTTTACCCTCAAGGAGCTCACAGCCAGACACCCGGATCCTTGTTTGTCCAGCCCAGCGCCACACAGAGTGCTTACAGAATGCTTACGGAATTACTGAGTTTAGCAAACTGAAGGCAATTGCAGTCAAGTTCTCGTGTTGTATCAGCCGTATTGCCAACACAGGCAGGGAGGGTGTCCCCTTATGCTTATAAAGTATAAGTGAGCTTCCAACCCTCCCTGCCCTCAAGGAATTCAGGATCTAGTGGAGGAAAAAGACAGGCTGTCAAAACCACAAGGGAATATAAGAAGGATAGGGGAGGAGCCCAGAGAGGCATGGAGTCCTGGTTCCACACAGGAACCTGGCAGGTAAGCATGGCAGGACCAGATCAGATTGTTGGGGTTCGAGGTCACTGATGTTCTGAGTCAGTGCAAGAAATAAAGACATAAAAACCCTTGGCAAGAGGATGCCCCCACCGAGCATCTCAAGTGCAAGTATAGGGTTATAGGGTCATCCCTGGCCCAGTGTCAGCGTGTCAGGAAGCCACACTTCAGGGCTCTGAAGGATGCTTGACCCCATCTATGCAGAAAGCACCTGGTGTCTGGAAGGGTTTGCCAGTGAATTAGCTATTACATCCCAAGCTAATCCCCAGGCACATTAGCAATACACCCTCACAGGTCGATGATGGTTCAATTACGTGTAAGGATGCAGCCATCACCTTACTGAAGTGGAATGTTGCACTGTGTCAACAACCAGCTTTACACTTTTACCGTTGTCAGGAGCTGGCTGTTGCATCTGCCAACTGGGACACTGGCAGGCCTCCCAGCCCAAGCACTAAGGAACCCATTTCTCCAGCTTCTGGTTGCAGAGGGGGTCCAGGTTCTGGATAGTTAAGGCAACTCAGCGTTGTATGGTAGGAGCAGGATGAGGAAGCCCCACGCTTTACAGCTTGGTCCAGTATTAGTAGACACTTGGTTCTACTCGAAGGAGATTCTCCTTCTTTCCATATACATGAAAAGCTTGAGGAGAAGAAGGGGACTCCTAAGCTCCTACTTGGTGGAGAAGGTCAAGTGTAGGCTGGCATTGTGTAGGCTAGCAGATGCTAGTAGGGCTGTTGTATGAGCATGTTACACTCAGTGCCCTAAGACTGTTGAGGGGATTCTCGTATGTCAAAGGGTTAAACCATATGACCTTGAAGATATCCCAAAAACTACAAGTTGTCTGAGAGCCAAGTGTATGCCCCTCCCGTAGCTGGCTAAGTGACTCATTCATTCACTCAACCATCTATTTAACAAATCTTTGTCGAGCACTTTCTGTGTGGTAGACGTTGCTCTGGGGGCTGAGTGAGTGTGGTGAATGGTGAATGGTGTAGAAATCATCTGGAGGGATGGCGACAGTAAGGGGAACTCCAGCCTGGGAAGAGAATTGTGAAAGGAGCCCAGAATGACATCAATGTGAAGCTCAGAAGGTAGGGT